ATGACAACTACTATGGCAGACGACTTCGAACTAGGTGCGTTCTACAAAGTCGCCCTGACAACAAGACCAAGTTGCGACAACGAGATCAACCCACTTCTATACATCGAAAGGAGACTGCGACCATACTAGAGGCCACAACATCTTGGTCTTCGTATCTTCTGACTTTAATTCAGCCTTCCTTCCCATCCCTCTTGTCAATCGTTTGCGGTTACACATCAAAATCACTGTCTGGCAGTCCCGTTTGCGTCATATTCGAGGATTTAGAGTCGGTGATGCCCACGTCTAAGCATCTACTTCTTCTCAGCCTAGGCTTCAGACCTTTTTGCATCTCATTCCGACTTAATTTGGAGCATCTAACGTGAGAATTCACCGCTTCCACTATCCACTCCTGAATCGCATAAAGCAGACTCCTCTTGTCTTTCCAGTTGACAGTCCCATCTACACCTAAGATTCCAGTTGTTCATGTGCATGCTGGAAGGTCACTGATTACATGCCTTAACTCGAAGCGGATACGGGACGGAAAGAGAAAACATATATTCAGCCAGATTTAAGACTGCCAGACAGTGATTTTAATGTGTGACAAGCTGGATGGAAGGAAGGCTGAATTAAAGTCGGAAGCCCTGAAAACGGTATCTGGAAGCAGTGGTGAATATAATTACGCTTCACTAAATTCACTGGAAGTGGCATACTCTTCGCGAAATTGGAGGAAACGAGAACACATAATTGTGTGAATATATGAATGGGCCATATGAAGTGGGATTGAGAGAAAGAAATGCACCATTATAATGGAGGACAAAAAAAGAGCAAGGAGTGATGACACAACGGTTGAACCTTCACTTTGCTAAATTCTAACTCTGTGCTAAAGATGGCGCCCCACACTTACGATGCCGGCGAAACGTATGGCGAAACGTACGGAGTGAATGGTCAAATACTGGAAATCAAGAATAGTATGACAGAAGACGCAGGACTACAAAGCCTCTTTGTCGCTCCGAACAAGTTGCGAAAACGAGGTCAAGCCAACAGTATAAAGCTAAAGCAAACTGCAACCAAATAGAAGGCTATATGATCTTGGTCTTCATATCTACGACAAAAATAATTGGCTCAGAATCAGATCAAGGTACATACACGAGAGTCAGAATTCAGCACAGCCTGTTGGTTACGCTGGAAGATATCAGTCAGTGCTGTGACTACTTCCACCAGGCCGCTTGATATGCCTCCAACACCATCATTTGTTGCTTCCCCACTGTTCTCCATAAAATGTTGTTTGAGTTGCCGAATCAGCGCCGCAAAATAATTTTCCCTTTGGTCAGTCTCATAGGACTCCGAAGCTCCTGGCTCTAGATTTTCGGATGGTCCAGTTGCGATGAGCAGCAAAAGAACGGTCGTCAGGGCTGATGCTAAGCTATCAGGTCGAGTAACTGGTCCTATGTCAGAATGTGATGTAGGCTGACCAAATAGTTGGGGAGCTAAAATAAAATGTGCATGATTAATTTCTGAATAGTTTAAATCTTTATTAATTCTAATAACACGACGTAATATAAATAAGAAAGATGGGCTTACTTATAGTAAAGAAGTAGTTTGACCTTGTTTTCGCAACATGGTCATATTGGTAGGAAGACTTATTGGAACGCACCTAGTCCGGGCTCCATTGTCTGCATGATCATTTCCAAAGTTGAACCAAATGCTTCGCCGACATCGTCAGTGAGTATCGCG